CCCCCCCCCCCCCCCCCCCACCCCCCCCCCCCCCCCCCCCAAAACCCCCCCACGCCGCCCAAGATACGCGGTGAGGCCAATATTTTTATAGCATTCTACTCTCCATAAAAGCACGAAAAATTTTACGTATCGGCTTTGGAAAATATTGTCCCGTTGTTGAGAAAATTTATCTTTTTGAAACAGGTAGCAAAAAACAAGGAAATCCACTTGTATTTTGCAGTTTTTACCGTCAAACTTCCAGTTTTTGCAAAACCAACGCCATATTTGAAATCAGCATCAAAAACTGAATTGATTGATGCGTGTTTCAAGATATTTGGACAATTTTCATTTTTTTCGAATTTTTCGACCGAGATGTTTTTATGGCGAATAGTATGATATAAAAAAATTGATCTCATCTCGTATCTAGAGAGACCAGAGATATTTTGCGCCAACATAAACGGAATTTTGGCTATTGATGAAAAACTAAACCTTTTTAGAACATATCACATGTGAATAGTATCGAAACACCATTTTTCAGATTCAATTTTTCACGGAGAACAAGAATGAAATACTTCCAAGGTTCCCAAACACATAGTGTTCAAGTTTTACGTTCGTTTTTAAAAGATGAGCCGTTTTCCAAAGTTTTAAAATTTTCAGCTTTTTTAAATATTCGGCATAAAAATTTTGATTCGAATGATTAAAACACACACATTCTTGTTCAGGTCGACGAGCTCTATCCAACCAAAACTTTTGTTTAAGTTTTGAATTTCCGGCGCCTAATTTTTATCATATAACTTCATCTCTATCATTTGCGGAATAATGTCCTAAGGTTTCAATGACCAATCGTCGATCCTTTTTTAGTGAACAGACAAGTTTAACTGGGAAAATACGTAAATGTCCATTACCTCATTGAGTGTCTCGATGGCGAGAAATTAATTTATGAATTATTTGTACATTCGTTTTGGTTTTTCATTTAGATGAGTTATGGGTTCCTTGTGTTCATGTTTCTGTTACCCACAAAAGGTCATAACACCTATTCCTGTGTTTTCTCCACCGAAAAAAGTAGAAACGCATAACCCGGAACCACCGAGAAGAGTACAAACTATTCAGCTCCAGTCCCCAGCACCCGTTATTTTAGTCAAATCTCAAACTCGTACTCCTCCGGCACGTCGGCGATCTCATCAAACTTCACAGGGACAAAATGTCGAAGATTTGGTTCTAATTTGGCTTGACGTTGATTCGAATAAAACCGACGATGATGTGATATTGAATAAATTACGTTCAATTGTTAATTATATAAAAATATTTGATCAATTAGATGAATGTATTAACTACATAAAAAGTATTACGAATGAAAAAATATTTTTAATTGTTTCTGATCAGCTTTCGAAACAACTTATTATTCGTGTTTATAATGAACCACAAATTGATTCAATTTATGTATTTTCCTCCGACAGTACAGCTATAGTCGAGCATCATTTATACGCTAAGAAACATGAAAAAATTCGTAACATATATACCAGCATCGATCCCTTATGTAAACAAATGAAATGGGACACCGAAGTATGTTTAAATGATTTAATAAGTGTTGCATCAATAGCTGAAAAAATAAATATTGGTGATAATAGCACATTTAACAATCAAGAAACATCATTTATGTACTTGCAATTAATGAAAGAAATTCTTGTTAATATGGAATATGCGGAAAATACTAAAGAAGAGTTTGTTGAATTTTGTCGTGACCGTTATAAAAATAATCCACGTGAACTTGAATCGATTAACGAATTCGAACAAGACTATTCACCCAATGAGGCTATTACCTGGTACACGCGTGACTGTTTTCTTCACAAAATCTTGAATAAAGCCTTGAGAAAGCTAAATGTTGACATCATCTACAAAATGAGATTTTATATTAAAGATCTTTATTTACAATTATGTTCTGAATCGTTAAAAGTACATGGGAAGACTGTCTATCGTGGTCAAGGAATGAGAATGTTCATTAAGTATTTCCAGGATGATTATACCCCTATATGCCCACTTTTATATATAAGATGAAACGCAAAATTTGAGTAAAATGTTTTAGCGCCTTTTCTGACGAAGTTAAATAGAGCTCATCCAACTGCATAGGAAACTATTTTTCTGTGAAAAACAAAACCAATATATTGATTGAGAGTCAACCTAGTGAATTTCGATGCAATTTTTAAAAATCTGCTAATTTCTCAGCTAGAACATTTTTTTAAATTCCCAAACTATTTTTGCCTGATTCTGCATGAAAAACTGAGGTGAGTCTAAAACATGAAATTTGGAAATTTGAAAACCAAAACTGGCCTGAGGATCCGCGATGCATGACCGGAAAGATGTTAAATTTCGCTACCTATCTTACAAACCTATCTCCTCCTAACGTTTGTAGATAATACATTTTTTTCATTTAATTCTAATTAGTAAATGATAGGGAAAACAAGTACGTTGGTACTTGTTTTTCAGTCAGCGCCAAAAACTACGTCGAATGCTGAGCTTTTTCGATCCTATCTGACTCCTTTAAATTGTTTGTATTTTCATGTCGAAAAATGAATGAAATTGTCACCGAACGATGAATCACCTAGTATACTTCCAAAGTCGATGTTCAGTTCGCTCAAAAGAACTGTTCGACCAGTTCAGCTCGCTCAAAAGAACTTTTGAACAGTCCTTTCGCTCATTTGAACGGAGTTCGTGAACGTGAGCTGGTGAACCCCTCCTTCCGACCATATTAGCAATTAACAACTGTTCTCTATCGCATATATCGCACTTTATATTATATATCTTTTGTATGTCTTTGATAACATAACTTGGATGCTATTTTTGAATGACAGCATATGGCTCGAAATAACGTTCATCAAACCAAACTCTTACTATGTCGAGAGTGTTTTCATAATATTTAGTCATCTTTTTTCTAAACCGGATCACTTCTTTGATGGCTGACTGCTGTTGAATTTGTATGTTTCTGTAGCTTTTGGGCACTAGTTTTTTGAGAAAGACACATAAAATCCTAAAAGTCTGCAATTAATAATCTCATAGCAAGAGTGCTATTTTCCAGGTTAGTTTGAATCACTGTCGTGCTGGTACACTTTGATCAAAGTTTAAATGCTTGTAAAAATAGTTGACGAGTTCACAGGACTAGCACAAACACAAATTTTTTCTACGGGATTAGGACTAGGATGAAAAGGTTTTTTAACGAAATCGAGACCAAAACAGTTTGGTCCCGCATACCTCTAGTTTTAAATCCAGTAATAATGTTGGATGGCCTACCATGCATCAACTGAGATGATAAACGGCCGGTTATTAAACGCTGACTCGAGTTATATGGATAAATAACAGGCGGTAAAAATGAACTCGAATCATCTGTAAGGAGCCAGAAATTCGAAACTTTTTTTTTAAACTTTATTTATTTATTAATGAAACAAATAGTTATAACTAAGACAGGTCAAAAGAGAGCAAAGCCCCGTGATTATCGTCCTGCCTAGCCAATAAAAATGAAAAAAATACTAAGGAAAATAGCAGAGAAAGAATATAAATACAAGAAAGGATGCAAATACAGAATTCAAAACTTAAACAATGTATTTTTGCGATATGTATACATGGCTGGACACGGCTCGTCGAGCTGAACAAGAATATATGTGCTTTAATCATTTGAATCAAAATTTTTATGCCGAATATTTAAAAAAACTGTAAATTTTAAAATTTCTTATTTTTTAAAAACGAACGTGAAACTCGAACACAATGTGTTTGGGAACCTTGGAAGTATTTTATTCTTGCTCTCTGTAAAAACTGAATCTGAAAAATAGTATTTCGATGCGTGAATAGTATCGAAATACTATTTTTCAGATTCAGTTTTTAGAGAGAGCAAGAATAAAAT